CTGAGGACGATGGCCTCAGATTTGAAGGTGCTGAGTCTCATTCCCATACTTTACACTCAGCTGCAAACTGTTCCAGTGCGAGCTGGAAGCCATTATCTGATGAAGCAAACAGAACCACATCATCCTCAAAAAACAAAGATGAGATCTGAGATCACCCAAGTGACCAAGGCATGTCAACCAAGACAGCCCTACAACATCCAGAGCCTTCAGGAGGCTATGTTACCAAGGAGATGTTTTACTGCCTCAGTGACCTCACCCCCAGAGATAGATGAGCTGTCTCCCTCGTCTGCAGATTCTGCTTCCTCCAAGGAAAATGTGCCAGTGGGATTAAGGAGGTCCTTGAAGTATTCCTTCCACCACCCGACAATGTTCTCAGTTGAAGTCAGCAGCGCTCCACTCACACTATACACAGTGCAGGCAGAACACCACTTTCCCCTGCTGAGTTGCCTGATGGTTTGTCAGAATCTCCTCGAGGCAGTCCAAAAGTCTTTTTCCATGGCCTCTCTGAACTCCTACCACACCCGAGTTTTTGCTTCAGCCACTGTCTGTCGGTACCTATTATCTGCCTCTGAAGTTCCACAGCCTAACCAAGCCTGATAGGCCTCCTTCATCAGCCTGGTGGCTCCCTTCACCTCTGGTGTCCACCATTTGGTTCGGGGTTACCACCATGTCAGTCACCAACCACCTTGGGGCCACATCTCAGTGGAGTGGTTTCTGTAATTGAGATGCTGAACACGGTGCGTTCAGACTCAATGTCCCCAGTTTCTCTCGGAATGTTGTTGAAGCTATGTGTGTTGAAGATCTTGTGGACCGGGGCTACAGCCAGGTGTTCCCAGCACACTCGATCTATACGTTTGGGTGTGCCCGTCTGTCCAGGATCCTCTCCCGCCATCTGATCTAACTCACCACCAGGTGGTGATCAGTTGACAGCTCAGCCCCTTTCTTTACCTGAGTGTCCAAAACACATGGTCGTAGGTCTGGTGATACGATTACAAAATCGTTCATTGACCTGCAGCCTATGGTGTCCTAGTTCCACGTGCACTTATGGACACTTATGTTGGTGTACGTTATGGACAAACTGTAGTTTCCAATAACAAACCATCACTCAGGTTCAGATCTGGGAGGCCGTTCCTGCCAACCACGCCCCTCCAGGTCTCACTGTCATTGCCCACATAAACGTTGAAGTCTCCCAGTAGGACAACAATCCCCATGTGAAGCACCCTCAAACACCCTGCCCAGGGACTCCAAGAAGAGTGGATACTCTGAACCACAAATCCGCGCATAAACGCAGACGACAGTCAGGACCCATTCTGCGACCCGAAGGCGCAGGGCACAAACCCTCTCATCCACCGGGAGAAACCCCAACATACAGGCAGTAAGCAGAAGAGATATTAGAATACCTAGCTAAGCCCGCTGCCTCTCACCAAGTGCAACTTCAGACTGAGACAGAGTCCAGTCCCTGTCCAGTAGAATGGTCTAGAGCCCAAGCCATGCGTTGAGGTGAACCTGACTATATCTAGTCTGCATCTAGCCAGCCTCATGCATTAACTCAGGCTCCTTCCCCACTAGAGAGGTGAAATTCCATGTCCCTATTGCTAGTCTTGGCAGCCAGTGATCAATCCGCAAGGGCCTCTGCTCCTGGCCGCTGCTCCTGGCCGCTGCTCCTGGCCGCTGCCTGGCACAGAGTGCACCTGACCCTTACGGTGCCTCCCGCGGGTGGTGGGCCTGCATGAGGATGGGTCCATGTCCCTTTTTTGGGGAGTGCCTAGCAGGCCTCATGGACTAAGGCCCGGCCACTTGACACTTGCCCTTGGGCACCCTCCCTGAGCATTGATTGTTTATTTTAGTATCATTCTGTCACTTTAACCTTTAGGCAGCATATAATGTTTGACATTTTTTATCAATTTTTCTATAAAATACAGTAAATAATTTTAAAAGGGTGCTGTTATTGAGTGAAAATTCCAAAGATTGCAGGTCTGGATTAAGCCCCAGCATTTCAAGATCCTAGTAACACTCTTGTTTATGTATCTTAAAAGATACAAGATTTTTTGGGGCTGACTCTGTCACGGTTGATGACAGCCAACCGTGGGGAAGTGAGGAGGAGGGCCCAAAATGCAGGACTCTGCGATGCAAACAGTGTGTTTATTTACAGTGTGGTTAACAACAGATGCACACAAAATCCCCTTTGCTCCCTTAACTCCCGTGTGTGCGTTCCCCTCCGACGTCTGTGCTCGTGCTCCCTGCTGTCGTGTTTCTGCACACCCTGTGTGTGCTGTCCTTCTTCTCCACATTCCTCCTGCAGGAAAACAATAGAAGCAGCTGTTAAACACTGACCCCTGCGGGCACACACGATCCGCACTTCCTAATACTACACACACTGACTTGGAGTTTTAACTTAATGATCCCACGCCGGTGGGAGCTCCAACACTCTCCTAAATAGCTCCCCCGACGAGCCCTGATCAGCAGCAGG